AAACATTCATCATCTTCTTCTTCGTCTCCAGTTGCAGTTGGAGTAGAAGCTACGGCTGAGCTTGTGAGACTTGGGGACGCTGATTGAAGGGCAGATGTTGTGGGAATAACAACAGTCTGTAGAGTACTAGCGGAACTAGCTGCTGGAAGTGTAGTTGCAATTGCCTCTTTCGAAATAACAGAGCTCAGATTTGCCACGGGCGCTGTCGAGCTTGGGGCGCTAGTCGATGTGGAAACGGAGGCAATAGTGGTACTTGTAGAATTCGCAGTCGCGAGTGAATTATTACCCGCCGTAGCAATATCCTCAGGATCCAAATGGTAGAGTAAAGAACCCCATCCAAGACTATCGTAATGACCTGATCCCTCGCCCCAGGAACCTGCTCCGCCTTCGAAACCTCCCATCGTGGTGACGGTGTAGTTCATGTATTCTTTCGTCCAGGGCGCTTCGACGCCTTTGATTTGTCCGTAGTGCGCATAGAGTAATTCCCATGTGGGGCGGTAGGAACCGCGGGAATCGTCGCTGATTTCGGTGTAGGATACTATGCCGTTGGTGTAGGGTTCAAAGGGAACATCGTTGTTGAGGTTGTAACGCGCGTAGTATTCCGCACTGAGGGATGTTAGCTTGATAATTCTACATATCTGTGAAATAAGGTAGCAAGTACCCGAGTAAAATCTTGCTATTGTTGAAACCATACAGATCCTCGCCCTGATTCCAGGCCTGCTGTGCAAGAACTCCAAGCAACTGGAAATCGAGACCGGTATGTCCTTGATCACGTCCAGCTTCTTGGGGTTGTCCCATGATTTTTCCCGTCTCTGGCTCGGTAACGAGATTAGAAATACAATTGTTGATTCCACCATTTCCAGATCCAGTCTTGAAATAATTGACTGCGTAGTCGAATAGAGTAGAATTGTCAGTCAAAACACCAAATGCCATCACAGAGGCCATATTGCAAAGTTCCCAGTTGGCAAAGAAATGCTTGACGTTATGTTCCGATCCAGCGCTATGGTTGAGGAAATATAGATTCTTAGCCAAAAAAGTCCTCTCAAACATGGCAGTGAAAGTAGCCAAACCGCTCTCCGCAAAGGGTGCATAGTCTCGGATGAGTTCTGCAGCATTAATCAATTCGTGACCTTGCAAACCAGTTGTAAGATATTGATCATCCACACCCTCATCATCGAAACTCTCTAGCTTTTCTCCCCACGCAGTGAGAATGGCCGCTGCAGCTTCAGCATACTGAGCATCCCCCTCTATTTTCCACCGCAATCCGAGTGCGAAAGCCGCGGCTGCATCGTGCCAGAGAAGTTCGGCGTTGGCGGTTATATCAGTAGTAGCATCGCGATAGACGCGCGCGACAGCATTGTTTGTGTAGTTTGATTGACCGTAGGAAATGCTGGTGAGTTTGTCCCATGAGCTTTGCCATGGATCGAGTTTTTGGGTGAGCTTGGACTTGATGCGTGTGATATCGGTCTCAGACACGAGGAGGCCAGGATGAACGAAAGCGAATGTAGTATTTACGAAAAGAAAAAGTTGGAAAAGGAGTGTGCGAGCCATTCTGATATGTATCAATTGGCTAGTAAAAGAGTGACTAGAAATAGAAATAATTGCTAAGGACCAAAAGAAACCATCAAGGTTAGAAACATTTAAATAACTCCATATGGGAGATTCCAACAAATTATAACATCCTGCAATCTGCAATCCCGCGTGTCTCTATATGAAACAGCATCAATAACAATAGGAGCTTGTGGGGGTAGATCCGGCAATTGTCTCCAACCAAAGAATAATCTACCAGCCAGTCTTGAACCTTTCAATCCGAGGGGATACGGGTGAAGAAAATAAAGATGGTAACGGTTATGATTCGCATCCCAAAAAGTTCGCAAAGTATATTAAAGTAGACTGGGATAGATTGCGGAAATTAAAGTACCCCGTATGTTCGTCCCGGGTGGGGAATATCCACTTTTCATGTCATGAATGGGAAATTAGATAAGCTGAATGACTTTGGCTCTTCCATACTCTATCTATATAATAGTATGGTTGTTGAAATTGAAAGATCTAGACCTCGATGAAGTTTGGTATTGTTGATGCGCAATTGAATTTTGATGTTGGTAGGTACAAGGTAGAATTCCCACGTGAGGAATTGGGTGAAAGGGAGAAAGGAAGTCGATATTGATTCCTGGAGTCGAGTGTCTAGTTACTTACAATTTCTTGTTAGGTTGACCTAAAACCTGACTTAACATCTAAAATTGCTGGTAGCTTTGTTTGAGATCTTCGCTGCCATTAATTTTCGTGAGCGCCGTTCTTGAAGACTGTGGGATCCCAGCTTTTAAAGCTAAAAGAGATTCAGAGAACTCATAATGAAGCAAACAACGGCAAGGTTTCCACAAAGTTGATGAGATATCCCCAATTCTTTATATGTCGTCTGTCCTTTTGAATCGTTGACATACTTGGCCAATCCATCAAGGCCGCTTTTTGCAGACAACATTCTATCCTGCGATTGAGCATTAGATACTACATATGGTTGATCGTGGGCCTCAACGGAAGAGATATACATACAAAAATTCTTGCCGACAACCAACTCATAACATGTGTAATTGCTGCCGTCTTGCCTCTATATACTAGCCCGGCGCTATCATTCGACAAATCGGCCACCACCTTTGATATGAATTTATCTCAGCCGGCATTTCCTTTGGACATGATCTTCCCTTGTTCTTATCCGCAAGAGTAGAAAATACGCATGAATAGATAGCTTTTGGAGTTAGCTGGGATTCTCCTGCTCTCTTGAAGTTGTAGATACTCGCTTGAACACAACTTGTCATGATAGTCAATACCTTTACTTGAAAAGGAGCTAATTCCAACCTGAGACTGCATTCTGGTTGAATGACAAACCATTGACCAGCGCAGGAGAAATATTATCCTTTCCTTTCACCCTGTCCAAACTTCTACACCTTCTCGTCCAATCCTTCGTTTCCCGAAGGTTTATTCTAACTTTTCAATTCAAAGTATGAATGTTATCGTTTGGTCAAGATACTAGGAAATTATTAATTTCTTGATTGGCGTCCATTTGTTTCCACACTCTCTTCTTATACAATCATTCTATTCCGTATTGATTAATTCATCCTATCCGTCTAGTCTGAGAATATTCTCACAGAATAGGCCAGAACGACAGTTCTAAAGTTCGGATTGAGACAGGCGCAACTGATTAAAACTTTTTTTTCCTTTGGGATGACTTCTATTTTCGCTCTGCTCCGTGATTGCTAACACATGAATCCAGCTGATTTCATTTATTAGATCAATCAATATATCAGTAAATAGTGTGGTTCGAGGAGTGTTTCGAGGTGGGCGTCTCACGTGGTTTTAACATGAAAATTCTTTCGGTTACACATCCAATCAAAAGACGCAAGAACTCCTTCATGCTGTCTGTGTGGGGTAAAGAAAATTCGAATATAATTTTAAATAATCATCACTTCTACAACAAAAAATCAAGTATCTTTGATGGTCTAACGGTCATGATTTCCGCTTGTCATCAATTTGACAAGTCGCGGGAGACCGGGGTTCGACTCCCCGTCAGAGAGATCTGAGCTCATGTTCATTCTTTTTGCATCTTTGGGAGTAAATTTTTTTGGATTTAAAGATAGCTACTAGCTACAGTATTCAAATTGAAGACAACGAACTGATTTTTGATAGCGATTTTATGTGATATAAAAAGTTTTTGTGGCACATCATTTTTGTCAGGAGAGTGATGTTTTAAGCCGCTCTTGATTCCCGACATTACTCCGAAGCTGGTAGCCAATGAGATTTTTTTTATTGGTCAGTATCACGTGTCGTTCTCCTTTCTCCAATAATTTTGTTGCATATCGTAAGATTGTCCGTCACAAATTCTTGGGGTTCGACTCCCTCTCAGAGGGGTGTGATTAAAATTCTCACTTTTCCCTTAGGACTTTCTGAACATTCACCACATTCACCAAATGAGAATTTCGAATTTATATTTCATTCCTATGGTTTTGACTTATGATGAGATCTCTCTATTCATAGAAGAAATAAGCACGCAAAACTGGAAATTCCTGTAATTCATTCTCTCAGACTACTTTCCAATTGTTCTAGTCGGTATCAAACATTCGTCGATCTCAACCACTTTATTTTCATTGCTTTAACGAAATTCACACTACGCCACTAAACACATTGTCTTGTGCGTTCTTCTATTCAATATATACAGACAGTTAGTTACTCTGGCTTTTCTCTATTTTTCTCCTTCCGATCAAATGGTATTGATAGAACAACCTGACCTATATCCTGCCTCTGTCGCTATTACACAGAAGCTTTACTGCATAGGTAACCGAACATCACGAGGATCTGTTAGCATTACTCCAGGATCTCTCCACTTGGGAATACTGATTAATAGCAGAGGTCATCCAAGGGATTGCTGGAGTATCTGATGTTCAGTTTCTGTGGGATGATACATCTTGCACATCATGCCATGCGTGATGAACTAACCCTTTGATTTTGCATTCCCTCGAAAGAAAAGACACACCTGTCAGTGCTGGTGGCACGGCATTCACATGACATAATCATCATATTATGATTTTATGATCATATTCAATGATGTCATATTGGAGCATCGGACATGGCAGAGGCAGTGTAATTTTGCTGGAATACCATATAGCAAGTTTGCTTATAGCGAACTACTCTTGAGCATGTGAGCACAGGTTTCATCTTTGGAATTGCTTCTCAGCAATCCCCTATCTAACAAACAGTAAGCTACCAACATGTTGCGATGGTGGCGTAGCGTCTCGTTTCAACGATCCTGTAAGCTTACCCCAGAGAGGGCTGAGGAAGCCCCTTGTAGAATGCAGAGTAGATCATACCTGCGGTATCTCTGGATTTCCAGACGTATGATTCATATGTTCAAATAAAACTGTGGTTTCTATAAACTCTCCCTCGATCGCTGAGCACAAGAGCTCACGACCGGGACAGTCATTTTACTAGAAATCTTCAATCCATCAGAAATGTGGCCCAACTCTTTACCATACTTTACTTTTTGCCTTTGTACAACATTTGCATTGACTATCGCTAATAAAGATGATACTATTTACCCATATGTTGGATATGGCGCTGGTCCCACTGAAGATATAGTTGCCTTCCGAGAGGCCAATACTTCCCCAAACGCAACAGGAATAGTGGACCTTGAAGTATACAACTTGAGAGCCAATCTTGATTCCGTTCAGAATGTTCTTGTCAGTAATTCTGGACCTTCGTATTATCTATCCTCTTGAGATTTGAGCTTGGGTGTTGTGCATGATATTTTGCATTCTCTTTGTTGCTTCAAGAGAGCTACAACCTTCCAGATATAAACAAGCCCGTCTTGAAAACAGAAATCACTGACAGAAAATCCTCTAGTGGCAAGCAACTCTGAATGTGACCGAAGTCACAAATCTCAACTACACAGACGCTGCAACAGACGTCATCACCAACTCTGTAATCGGAATCAACGCTCTTGAAAACTGGGTCGAAAACTCAACATGGACTACAACCATCTTCATCCTCGAAATCTCCAGTAGAAATGTAATTGTTTCTGGCCAAAGAGATACAGGAAATTGCTACGCAACGCTAGGCGAGACATGTGTACAAGAATACTTAAACAACGCCGACCTGACAAATATATCCGCGCAGTATCCAACATCACCATCAATCCCCACGAATTGCGATGATAAAATTGCAGGGAGTTACGGGGGTGGTATGTACTATGCTCTCTTCTAGCGTCTAGTCCAATCCTCTTTCCTTTTAATTCTAATAGTATACTAGGATTCAATGGAAGTGACGCCGATGGAAGCGGATACTTCTTCAGTGCATCCTGGGTCCATAATGCGAGTAACACAACTTTCTACGAAAACGCTGTTACTAAAATTTGGCCGCTTCTGGTTATACAGCGCAATGAAGCACATGGGATTCAAACGGCGAGTCTGAGCTGTCTGAAAGCAAATGCAACGATGGTGGGAAGTAAGGCTATTGGTGGGGTACCTAGTGTGGCGACGGGGTTTCAGATATATGGATGGGTCGTGATGGCTGTTGCTTCTGCAGTGGGACTGATGTTTTTGTAATTGTGGAAAAATTTTAAGGTATAAAGTTTTTGAGCCATTTCGAATTAGAACAGTTACCCAAGCCCCGTTTACATTGTCGTCAATTTCTTTTGAAGATTCAGAGGAATTTTGGGTGTCGATGTCTTTGATCTAAGGCTTATGAAAGCACGACGAACAGTTTGAAATGTGTAGACCAATTAAGACTATATGACTCAGGATCCACTAGCATTTTCTTACGATACCTATTTAGGCCTATGGGACTTGCATGCTCGTATCCATCAGCCAATCTTCATGTGCCGATAGATTTCACAATTACGTCAGATATGAATGATATATCTTGAAAAAATGTTTAATCAAACTAAAAACATCACTCGATCGTTTGGTTCTCTCTCCCCATAAGAAATAAAATACATAATTCATTTAGCTCCAGTGAAATCATCTCATAACGCCATCAATGTTCTGTCGTACATAAACAATCATGAGAGACGTTAGATAACCCTCATCCAAGACCGCCACACTACCCAGCTAGACATGAATTCTCTTGCGTCTGACAGTCACCGATGTCAAAACCACTTGCAGTCTCACCATTGAATGCATCCGCACATGCATTGAACTGTATATCGCAACTTCTTTGTAAAGCCGCAGCTTCATTCACAAATGTGTTGCCATTGACCGAGAAAGGACGAGCTGAATCTCCACTGTTGGTGACGGGTGGTGCCGCTATACCTCCTAGTGCAGAAGTCGAGGAGCCTGCAGAAGATGAAGTAGCAGGTGATGTGCTACTCGAGGCAGGTACCGATGATGATGTAATGGAAGGTACACTTTTTGCGATGCTGGAAGTGGTAGTTTTGGACGCTTTCGCTGCAGAGAAAGAAGACGAAGCTGATTTTATCGAACTTGCGGAGGAGCTCGCCACTGGGTTGGTATTGTCCGGACCAGCTGCAACTGCACTGGCTGCTAGAGCTGCGGCAGCTTGCCCGCCGGAACCTTAAGATTGTTAGCATGATTTTTCGTTCTATAAATGGGTAGAAAGAGAAAGTATTGACTTACCATTATTAGATGCAGCGTTTGCAGTAGTTCCGGATCCAATGACAGTAAATTTAGTACAATCATCTGCTGTACCTCGCTGGGCGACAGGCATAATGGCAGGCTGATGATTAGTTGATGAAGCCATCGTGCACACGCGATAGTTACCAGCCGGTAAGCCGCCACTAACAGTAGCCGAAAGAAGTCCTTGGCCGTTTCCAGCATCATTGATACCCTTAAAGAAGGCGAATTGAGTAGGATCCAAAGTTCCCTTTGGATTGAGACTGGACCCCATATCCTGCACAGTTACGTGTGTATGCCCAATCACTACCTACAATGAAATATAATGATCAGCAATAGCCTAGCAAGCAGAGGACATCAGAAGGACAATGATGGATTTAGATATCAAGTGGACATCAAGCAGTGCGAAGTGAGAAGACCTACTCCGGATGAATCAAGCTGCTGTGGAGCGGAGAAGTAAGTGGAATCCGCATTAGAAAAGGAACCTGGAGTTATGTTGGACATTTGGACAGTAATATTGAATGTTGTATCGGATTGTATCGTTGCGCTACCAGCCAAAGGGAATGTGATGATCGACGACATCATTTTGTTTTTCGCGGGGATTTGACCCATTGCTGGAAGGCAAATGAGTAGATGCCAGATTAGAGATGGGAAGGCACTCACGGATTCCATTACAAGACCCTGTTACAATTTGAAGGCCATTGGTAAGAGTTTCTCCTGCGCAAAAGTTTATAAAGTTGTTTTGCGAAGTCGCAGAAGCGGCCTCGAACGCCTCATTACCACCAATTTCAGTGAGTCCATCACTGAATGAGCCGCTTGCGATGGCGTTTTGTGCAAGGGTAAGACTAGTGTCATCGCCGCTCGTTGCCGTGGCACGTTTGTGGATATCCTGGTGTCTCCTTGCATTTAGGCCCTCGACCAGGCCAGTTGAAGCAAAGAGAGCGAGAGCTACTGCCTGAAAACGCATTATAATCTTTGATTGATCGCTTCTCGTGCCTTTTGTGCTTTCGTAATAAAGGGATATGTAGTATAAAAGATATGGTATATATATTACAATGTGTAAAAGCGACGCAGTCGTGCAAATTCAGATGAAAGAATGAAGAAAGTGCTATCAAAGCACGAAAAAGAATGTAAATATCAAGAAAGAACGTATGCGCACAAAAAGAAGGTGAATCGAGAAAGACGAGATTAAGACTTATGATGACAAAAGACTTTTACATGACGGCAGCATCATCACTCATATATGTATTCTCTTTGAATCTCAACTGACATGTCTGTGCCGTGAGCCGACGATGGATGGTAAGCCCAGCTTGATCTTGACCAGATTCGACAATTTCATTTGCTAGCAAGAATTGCATTTTGTCAATTGCACTTGTATCAGCCTGTTTGATTCACCCATCTCGATTACTGGTTTCGGCTTCCAGGAGATATGAACAGGCTGTATTACAGTTTCGTCCCAAGAAGAATCAGAGGATAACAGGTAATGCAGGGCTATTGTAACCCAGCCTTTTGATCTGATAGAACGAAGATAAATTGCAAGGAGGACAATATTAGTACGGCTGTTGGGGAAGACGCAAGAGATACGAGGCCTATGACAGAAAAGCTTAACGACGAGAAGTCTTTCAGTATTGTCATGGGTATTGTAGCTTGGGATGAACATGTCTCAAATGTCAAAATATGATACGGTTGTTGCAAGAGATGAAAACCTCGCGTCTGGAATTGTAAGCAGCAATAATATGACACCCCTGAACCCCAAAACTTCAGGGAGGGCTGAATGCATCAACTTATGCCACAGACATCGGCATTCAACTGAGCTTTTTTGACAATGTGAATATTGGCATTGTCCAGAATGTGATGATATATCCAAAATTCATGTAAGAAGTTATTAATGTTAGTATTTTGATGGTTGATGGTTGATGGTGGCGTGGAGCATCGAAAAGCAATTTGCGCATCTTATCTTATCGCCGGATAACCCCATCCCTGTCATTGTCTCAGAACATGTACAGCGGATAACATGAGACGAAGACAACAACATCATAGGTGGCCATGGGATGAAAGGCTGCATTGGATGAGACTGATCAGTTGGTTGCTAGAACCCCCTCCCTCAGCCTTACTCATACCAGATTGCCATTTTCTTCCATATAATCTGATTCTGCATGGTATTCTTCCTTATGAGTTCATGAGCTTCGTCTGATCATGCCAGGCAGATATAATCCCAGAATTTTGAACAAGGTTCAAAGATACTCAAGTGCTGCTCAAACTTGCATCAAACAGATCTAGCTTACCCTCAATTATTGTTGGTTTTCTTCCATGAACGTCGTCTTGGCAACAAGGGTAAACAGCCAGAAATACACCCACGCTGCTACAGGTGTGTGGACATGTGGGCAGGTGTCAAAGCAGCACACTTTTCGTCCCAAGAACATGCAAATGATATAAGACCCTTTCCTCAAAGATCTGACCATCTTCTCTTTGTTTTCCTGGTCTTTAGTATCTTCCCCCTCTCACTTACTCGTTTTTGCTGTTCATCTACTTCTCACGTCTGGCACGTCTTTCGTTAAGTGTTTTTAATTCCTAGTGTATATTCTTATCACATTATTTTACCTTTCATTGTCACGATTAAAAGCAGAAAACAACAACAATCATGATGCATTCAGTACTATTTGTTGCAATCCTCGGAGCCATGGCTGTCGTCAACGCTGCTCCAGCATCTACAACTGTAAATCCCGATGCAGTTACGGGAACAACATGTACCGATCCTTCAACGTAAGTATTCAACGATGGAATGAAACTATCAAGTACTGATATATTCACCAGAACCCTTATATCCCATGATATCAACGTGGCTCTTCTCGGAATTTGTGGGGGTATAGCAGGAACTATTCAACAAGTGAGTTGATTTCTTTATTTTGGGAGAAGAGAAATTTTTTTACAGAAAAGGAGAGGGGAGAAAGACGTATGAAGTATTACTAGTATATGGAAGGATATCAGCCGAATAGAATAAGAGGGTTAAATTAAATGCACATATTTCAAGTGAAAATATCAAATTAGATTTGAATCATTTTTCGATCATTTCATGCTTTCTTCGGAGGCAAATCACAAGATCTCTATCATAAACACCCACCACGACAAGAAGGGATGAAAAATTGGGGGAACCAAGTAGTTCATCCTTGGGCTTGATGAAGGAGGGGCGGAAAGGAATTTGAAAATACTAGTCATTACTTATATCTCTGCATCAGACCATCAAATTAACACTTTGTAAAATAGTGCGGTGGCGAGCCTACGTCAACAACCGGAGAATCGGGCACTGCGCTCTTGAAACTCAATGCTGCTACATCTGGCCAGACAATTGACATCACGAAAGGTAGGTGGGAAGGATGTATGAGAGCAGCGCGAGCGGTGTGCGGAGACAGTCCTTTCACCAGTACTTGCATTGGTGGAGCGAAGGTGAATGCTGGCAATGTAGATTTCGAACTTTCTGCCGCATAATAAAGTGTTCAAGGACTTACGACGGTGAAGGAAAGGAGGCATACTGTATGGTTGGTAGATGGTCGATAACCTCAACTATTTGATTCTGTATATATACCCACACCTATTCTAGTAATATGGAATGAGATTAGACTAGATGGAGAATGTGCGAACAATGATCTGACCTCCGAACTTTTCGGATATCACAAACAACATACTTGACATTTTTGGCCGCATTCTTTGGTTATATGGAGGTAAGTTTCGGTAAAATATATGCAGTCTACTGAAATATCATACAAAAATTCTTCAAGTAATCATTCCGAATCGGATGAGAGTATGACATTAGACTATCCCTGAAAATGAAGCATTTCGGTCTTCCATTCCCATTCTGACTCCCAATATCGACGGCATTCAAACTGATATATGACTTAGGTATGGTAACAATAGGTGATGATAGTCATGTCAAATATTCAACCATATTCACTTGAAGACTGAAATGAGATCAGAAA